CTGCTCGGGCTGGCCTGGCACCGCTCTCCAGTGAGTAGAAGGGGCCACCAGACAGGAGCTGCTCCCCCAACTGTATGCTTGGTTCGCCTTGGCTCTGCCCCAGGCTAGCGCTGACACATACTCAATCCCCTGCCCTGCCCTCCACCCCCTCCCACCCCCCCACAGCCGCGGTCCCTCTGCTCAGCAGGGCCGATGTCCGGGATCGAGTGGCCACTGCTGCCACTACTGCGCTCTGCTCTGTGCATGTCCCCTCATGTCCGGCCTTTGCTCCTGGGCTGCCCCAAGTGAAATTCCTGCCCCAGCCGCTGGTAAGGTGCACTGGGATCGTCCCCTGGCTGGGATGGGGGGCTCTAGGGGTCCCAGGCCATGCTGAGCTGTGAGCAGGGAGCAAAAGCCAAGCAGACTCCAACTGGGGTCCCGTGCTGGTGGGAGAAGGGAGATGATGGTTTAATCCCCCTCTGCCTGAGCCTGCTGTCCCACGTCCCCGCCCCATCCACTCCAGCTGGGAAGAGTCTGGCAGAGGTGCTGCACCCCTGCCAGGCAGACTAGGCTGTGTACCCAGCTGGATTCCCACCCGCCTTGTCAGCCAGCCCACACTGCTCAGCTGGACAGCAAAGGGGCAGGGCCAACCCTGCGCTGCCAGCCCAGCCCAGGATTGCAAAGCATCCTGGGATGCTGGGAGACTGTGATTTAACTTGAACCAGGAAGGGGCTTGGACAGAAGTTCCATAAACCAGCTTCACCTAAATCAGTTAAGTCTGATACTACATTCAACCAGGTTTATCTTAAACTAGTTCCGGCCATTTTGAAACTGGTTTATGTGAACTGAACTTGTGTTAAGTTACAGGTTGAAACCAGTTTCTGATCACTTAAACCGGTTTACATGTAACTTCTGTCCCTAGCCAAAGTACCTGGTCAAGGTCAGTATTAAGGGTTGCTGAGGTGCCTGGGTTTGAATCCCAACTATGCATCTGACCCAGCCGTTTAAGAAATAGGCATAATAGTTCCCTGGCTTGCATGGCATGAGGACAAATCCCTCACTATGTATGGAGAAGGGGGCCACAAGATGACTGAAGGATGCCTCCCGCCAGGACCCTGGTTAAGCCTGCAGCTTGCGCAGTGAAGCACAGAAAGCATCAGGGCCGAACTGCTGCAGATGCAGTGTGTCGCTGAAAAGCCAAATATCCCCTTTGGCTGGCGGCAGGTGGAACAGAGCTGAGTGATGGGTTATCCAGCTCTGAAAATCAGCTGAGCGGCACAGGGCTCGAATGGCAAATGAGGTGGTGTTTGTAAAACGTGGATTTGAAAATGTCAAGCGGCATGAGAGGCTGCCGAAGGGGAAATAAATAGGGGGCAGAGACAACTTCTAAAGCAGTCAGGTACTGCCACGTTTTTCCCCTCTGCAGCTGCTCTGACCTTACCAAATCCTTTTATCCCATTCCAAATGATGCATCTCCCCCAGGAGCTGTTTAATCCACATCTCATTCCATAGTCAGCTCGGAGGTCATGACTTATTTTTAATGTCATTTCTGAGAGGGGGCTGGAGCTGGGGGGTGGGAGTATAGAGGAGTTTTGTGTGCGAATAGGCTTATTTAGAGGCCATTCAGCACCCAGAGGTTAGGGAAGCGTGCATTTTGAATATGAAGGAACTACTTTTTTACTTTGTAGGGGTTTTTAATGGCAAGAGGCTGGCTTAGAAAAAGACTGAGAGTGAGGGCATTCTGCACTTTGAGGAACCACATCTATTGGACTGAGAAAGCCTTATTAACAGTTCACTGGTGCAAACATTTTCTCTTTGTCAACGTGCCATCAAGGGTCTTCTCCCCTAAGGAAACAGTGTGCTAGTAGACAGAGCACCTGATTAGCGCTCACAAGGCCTGGGTACTAATCCCAGCTCTGCCCTGGTATTTTGCCACATGACTTCAGGCAAATCACTTTATTGCCCACTGCCTCAGTTTCCCCATCTGTACATGTAATTATGCTGGTTTCCTTTGCGAAGCGCTAGAAAGCACTTGATGTGACAGTTAGGACAGTCCTGCAAGGAGCTGACCTTGCCTCAAAGAAAACGCCCATCAATCAGAATATAATCAAGAAAACCAATGATTTTTGGAAGCCTTGTCTTTTGGTAGACCCGTCCTGAACGGTACCAAAAGAGTACAACTTCCCTAGTCCTGAGTACCCACAGCTCCCACTTCCTGCACGTGGAGTTTTGCGAGTACTTGGCCCACTGTGGTCAGCCAAAAACCTCTAGGGCGTTGTATTCGGTGACCATTTTGGAACACGTGCCTCAGTTTCCACACCTGTATGATGAAGCCAACAGGAGTGGAGGTGATCTCATGGAACTGTGGTTCCTTGGTGCTTGCGCCCCTTCCCTCCCTGCCCACTGCAGCCAGGGAGCTGTGTTGCAAGGCGTCGGCATGCCACTTGCCATGGCACTTTGCATCCAAAATCTCCTCAGGCCCAGAGTCTCATTAGCCATCTGCCCTCATTCTGCAGGTTGACAGGATGCAGAGTGTAAATGGATAACCTGTCAGGGAGACAGGAGGATAATATCATTCAAATGAATCAATAGTTCACAGGCAATTTCATGTTACCTAATGTTAATGCGGTTGTGTCCAAAATGCACTTAATTCTGTGTCTGATCTCATTCCCATAGGACCTCGCCAGGCTGTAGTAGGAGTCTTGCCCCTCCACATCTCTGAAACTTAAAATCATTGTTCCTATCAGCCAGAAAAAACCATGAAGGCATTCGTGTTAGTGATGGAGGGGAATGGCGCTCTGTCAGCTTCCTCAGTCACAGTCACCACCTTCTATCTGCATTTTAGCAATTAGCCAGAAATAAATGATCTCCCAGTGATAGTGCCAGGCAGACTGGAAACTTCCACAGTAAACTGGTCTTGTGGCATCGCTGTGTTGCTTGCTATCAACAGCCATGGCAGCACCAGGGAGCCTCAGTTGCAGACCAGAGTACCCCAGTACAAGCTGTGTCCAGATGCAGAAAAAAAGAGTAGGCCCTGCCCCAGATGGCTGGGCAAAATAAAGTAAGTGTGAGTACCTTGCAACTGCAGGTCTAACGTCATGCCTGGATCACATGCCACTGTGAAAAGAGCCTTCACCGTTCACTCTGGGCACGCCTAAGCCTGGCACGTCAGCAGAGTAGAGGGTTTGGAGGCATCGCAAGGTGCTCGCAGGCTCGTCTGACATGGAGCTGAAAAGGGGTGCCTGGGCATACATTCAGTCCCTCCCTTCCTCCTGTGCTGTCTGCACTGCCCAGGTGATGAAACTGGGTGCTGGCACAGAGGGAGTGAGAAAGCAGTGCCTGTTACCCTGCAGGGAGGTGGCATAGACCTTGCTTAAATGGGCTCTGCAGCCATTAATTACTGCAGCAGTGCTAACAGCCTGTGAAGAAAGAGGCAGTATTCCCCTTTTAAGACAAGCAAACTTAGGCACAGAGACCAGCCAGGCAACGGGTGGCTGGCAGACCTGAGACTAGAACGGGAGATGCCCAACTCCCCAGCCCGGGTTGTAACCAGGAGTCCATGCGCTCCATGCCCTTTCTGCTGTCTCCCCAGCATCACCAAGGGCCTTGGCTACTCACCCATGACTGTCCCCTGTCTCAAGAAATAAAGCAATGAAAGAAACACTTCTGACTGAGAAGCGCGGGGACCTTCTAGGTCTGTCTTGGGTAATGGAACTGGTTTAATTGCTTGTGCGCGTGCCCTGCTTATAACATGAGATAAAACCCTTGAAATGGTCTATCTGGAAAACAGCAGCAATTGGCAGGAGGTAAATTCAGCAGCTGGTATTTGAAGCCTTGGCCAGAGCCCAATCAGTGGTTATTTCTGAGGCAAGAAATAGGAGATGATGAAATAGCAGGAGGCTCTTTCTCTACAGGTGTCTCCATGGTCTGTCACACGGGGAGGGCTGGGAGTCCCCCTCCGCTCAGACGGACAGCTGTGTACCTGGAGCTCTCAGCCATGGCAGGGAACAGTTGTGACTCCTGGAATAAGGCTGTAGCGTGGAAACAGTGTGCTGTCAGGGATCTCTCTAGAGGTTGGAGCTGGGCCAGGGCTTCTTCCTCCCTCTTTTAAAAGCAAAATGTTCTGTTGGTCCTTTCTGATAAACAAGTGATGGGGGGGAGGTGGGAGGCGCTGGGTCAGGAGGGACCCTCTCCATCAAAGTGGCATGTGGAATTAGGGGGGCAGTGGAAAATGCACTGGAGCGACTGTCCTGGAGGCTTTGAGGACCTTTGTTTGCCTGCAGGACAGATGCTGCTGGGTAGTGGCAAGGTGGGGGTGGGATATGCCACTTAATTGCAGGGCTCTTCCCCTTGAGCTGGGCACTCTGTCCTGGGTGGACCTCTTCCAAACCTCTGCTTGTCCTCAGACCCCTGAGGATAGGGCATCTCTGGCTGTCCAGACACTTTTCCCTGGTCAACTCCAAGGCTCCCATGTCTCCCCATGCCTTCACTAGCCCCTTTCCCCACTGGTTCTCCCAGTGCCTTGGTGGGGAACCACAGCTCTTTTTTTGACACTGTATTTGATCTCGTTGTAATGGCGTGTCGAGGATATAAAGCTGCTGCGGCATTTGTTGCTGAGAATATGGCTTCAGTCTTCCACAGCCCTACCTTCCCTGCCAATATGTCTATCATGCTGTGTAGGGTTCACTGTCACGGGTTGCAAAAGGAGGTCCATTTCCAATACCCATTTAGTTGTTGGTCTCTACACAAGAGCTGATGTTTGTGGTGGTCGGCTCAGCTGCTGCCACTCTCGGGAGCGAGAGGTCCCCAGCCGATTCCATATCCTGACTTGCCACCAGCTGTCGTACGATCCTGACTCTTGGTTGCCAACAGCCTGGGGTGGGCGCATTTCAACCATCCAGTGAATGCTTTCCACCACCTGCACTCCCTGCCTCCTTTTGCTCCGTGACCTGGTAATGAATTAGCTACCATACTCCGTCGCCTAATGCTGCTTTCTCTTTTGGGTTGCTGCTGTGCTTTAGGAGTTTTCCCTCCAGCGACTGGACAGCCTGCTGGATGACCGGGTGAACGTCTTGGGATTTTCCATCTTCAACCAATCTCATGCTTTCTTCCAAGAGTTCGTCCAGAGCCTCAACCACTCCTGGCAAGAGAACTGTGACCACGCTCCCTTTACAGGCCCTGCGGTAAGCATAGCTCTCTCTACCACATCCCTTTCTACAGCTGTCAGAAGCGGTAACGAGGCAGCAGGGGCTGACGCAAAGGTGACGATCAATGTGGAACAGCTGTGAAGGGAACAGGCGAGCAGAGCTTGTGAGTGATGGTGCAGGACAAGCGAGTAATGCAGAAAAGCAATAAACTGGCTGGGTTGATGTAGAGGCTGCTGTGGTGGATGGGAAGCATTACAGGAAAGGATGGGACTTCTCACAAAGAAAGAGGATAAGCAGCTAGGTGAGGAGCCGGGAGTAGCACTAGGCATATGCATCAAAGGTCTTGGTGTGATGGTCACAGGACTCCATACAAACAGAGTCATTCACTAGATCTCTTTGCACGCGCCACGATTCAGAGGATCGATGGTTGCCTACTCAACATCTGGTTGCAGAGCTGAGGGAATAGGCACCTTTCCTCCTCCCTCATGCACCCCTTTGCTCCTTTTGAGTTTGAGGTTGCTATTGTCAGCATTTCAGGTGAAAGAATTGCATTGTCATATAAATACAGGTGGGAAGCAATGTTTTCCAGGAGCTCATTAAATCACGGGGATTGCCAAGCCTCCTTACAGCTCCATTAGTTCGGTGTGTGAGAGCACTCTGCCATGTAGACATACTCAAAGAGGGCTCTGCTCCTTTTTAGCTTGGTCCACTTTGAGAGTTACTCAAGGCTAGCTACTTCCCTTCACAGTCATCCCCTATCTTCATCTGAGTTTTCCTGTGCAGCAGGCTTCCCTGGGAAGGTAGGGGAGGAAGGGGAAGCAGATGCAGACAATGTAGGAAGGGAGCCTCCTGGGCCCTAGCTGGAAGCTTGAGGGGCGAGATACTTCACATGCTCCAGAGTCTCCCTGATGAGCCTGCTAATGACTGCTGCAATCTCCCCTAGGGTCCCTGTCTCTCTTGGAAAGTTTGCAGAGCAGCTTTGCTACAAATGGATGGAGGGGGGAGGATAGAGTTTGGGGAGAGGAAAAAGCAGCAAACAATTTGCATCTTGACAAATGGAATAAAAATCCCCTGGGCTCCCGAGGCAGCCTGGAAGCCCCATGGTTTTTGCTACAAATAAACTGTAAGCAGCGCCAATAAGGAGTCTTCTCCACTTTGTATTTGCTTGACAGGAAGAGGCAGTTGTGGTTCACACCTGAGTGGTACCAACCTGCTGCTGCAACAGCGCCGACGCTGTGCTCTCGCCAGCTCTTCCCTCCCCTGCCCCTCTCGTCCTTACCCTCCCTTTGTGCTCAGGTGGCTGCAGCTTGTGCACCGTCTGGTTGGCTGCATCTCGATGCACTCTGCACAAGGAATCTGCCTGCTTGGGCGACAGCTGCAGGGCTGTTGTGATGCATTAAAACTAAAGCTTTTCTAACAGAGCAATCAGATGCTAACCCCGAGAAGTGCAAATGCTGAAGGTGGGGAAGAAAACATCTCCGCTCTCTTCTTTCCTGATTGTCTCGAATGGGCTTGAGAATGCTCCAGAGATGCAAGGAGCACAGGGCTGCCCCTTTTTGATCCCCACCTTGCCCCCTATTTTTGAGTGAATTCAGTGCTGGTGATTGGTGCCGGCTCGGGAGTCTGTCTAAAACTCCAGTCCATGTAACATTAAGGTAGCTGGATGTCTAAGTTGTTCAAAAAACAGACTAAGCAGAAGGGTAAATCCCTCCTGCATTAGAGAGGTGGCTTCCAGGAGGGGTTAGGTGGGAGGACACAAAGGGGGTTCAGTCACCCTGGCCCATTCAGTCCTACCTCTGTCGATTATCGAGTCCCATCCCATTTCCAACCCCAAACCTTGGTGGGTTGTAGTGATTTTCAACCTCTTTGTCATGGCAGCTTAATATTTGCATCCCCAAGAGACCGCCCTCCTTCTCCCCCCGGGGACTGGACCCCCCACTGTCCTAGGCATGGTGGAGCAGTAGCTGCCCCCAAATGCTTCCAGTTTAAACTGGCACCAGAAAAGATGGGCAAAAGGAAGGGATATTTTGCAGAGAGGGTTCAAAGAGAGTCAGGCTGTATCTACATTTGTTGTGGGGTGCTGCTCTTGTGTACCTGCACGGAAATGCTGAATACTTAGGGGCCTGAGGACCCTGGTCCCCTCAGGAAGAGGGCTGTCACCTGAAATGCATAAAATGTCCACATGTCCATCATCTTAGCACCTCTGCCCCTGGTAAAAATAAAAATCAGCACTTATGCACCTGCATACTTCCCACACCTGCCAAACCTAGAGCCCAGGCAGTAGAGGTGCTCTGGGGGCTCCCCTGGCTGCTGCTGCTGCTCCCTGTCTCTGGCATGATTGAGGGCAGTGGCAGTAGGTGCCCCTAGAGCAGCTTTGCCACCTCATTTCCTGGCTTGGCAGATACCGAGCAGGAGCTGGGGGGTGCAGCGTATGTGAGCAGCACCCCGGCAGTGCAGAGGAGGCGTTGTGCATGTACCTCCAGTGACATCCCTGATTTAATGCAGGCAGTTTGGGGCCAGCTGGAGCCTCCAGAGTGAGTCTAGAGACATAGCCACGAGACTGTGATATAGAGGGTCTCTTCCTGACCCCATCATTGTGATGACTGAGCACCATTACTAAGGCCCTCTGCTATTCAGTCCCCAGTGATAAAGAAAAGTGTTTTGCCAGTGAAACAAAACTATACAAGCAGGAGGCTGATTTTCTTGTCTTCAGTTTGCTAGGGAAGTCCCTCATTTCACCGTGAATTGTCTCCTGTCTCTTGCCATTGCAAGCACCTGCTGGAGCTAAGCTCTTAACTTAGCTCAGACAAGTACCTCCCTCTTGGAAGTGCTTCCCCTGTCAGCTCCAGCAAGCTGAGATCTCCTGGAACGGTTCAGGGATGGGGCTTCAACAGCTGGACATGGCAGGAGGTTTCCTATAAGCTGCAGAATCCTAGGGCTTCCTTGCCAGAGATGTGAAAGTGTCTTTGGAAGGAGGAGGGAGATACTTGTTCAAATGCCATTCTCATTAATCACGTTGCAAAGAAAGGAAATCAGAGAAAATCATTAAAATTACAGATGGCTAGATTAGGTAATTAGAATTTAGGCTAAAACAGATGTTTGTAATTAAGTGTTTATTTCATTGAATAAAATCCAGATTGTAAAGTCTATTGCACGGGATTGTAATGGTTTTAATTCTCTGTGTTATGTTTGGGGGGCAAAGATGCAGACGACAGTGGTTTAGGTGGGGGAGGGGGGAAGAAACAACCCAAACTGCCCCTGTGCCTGCTGAGAGCAGCCTGTCTTCCAACGTTGGCGT